TGTCTGAATTGAGGGTCTATGACCTAAAACTGTATTTTATAGCTTTTCCAGACATTACTTTTAATAGACTCTAAGGAGTAACATGACATAACATTCCTTCTACAGTTTGCAATTCATAAACCCTTCTACAACTCTTTAAACAAAAAAGGAAACAAACACATAAATGCTAAGAATTTTTTTTTTGTTTAGAAAGCAAGTCATAGAGGTAAAATGAGCTCCAGGTATGAAAGTATAAGAAAAGGTTTTGTTCTCTTTTCCTTTGCCTTTCATCACTGGTATGTAAATAGAGTATGATTATTTCATTAGGGGAAAAGATACTAATTTCCACCAATTTTAAGATTTACTGCAGTAAAAGACCAATACCTTAAAAGCAATAATTTATTTTCTTTCTCCCTCCTATTCTCCTAAAATTGAGAGCATGTAATAACAAAAATCCCAAACAAAACTATAAACACAGAATATTGAAAAGCCAGTAATTTTTAAACAGCAGTTCTGTCATAAAAATAGCTAAGCATTAATTAGGCTTTTAAATATAATTTCAACCATGACATAATAATGATCAAAACATCAAATAAGAACACACTGTGCAGGGGCACCTGGGTGGCTCAGTGGGTTGAGGCCTCTACCTTCGGCTTAGGTCATGATCCCAGGGTCCTAGGATCGAGCCCCGCATCGGGCTCTCTGCTCCGCGGGGAGCCTGCTTCCCCTTCTCTCTCTGCCTGCCTCTCTGCCTACTTGTGATCTATCAAATAAATAAATAAAATCTATAAAAAAAAAAAAAAAGAACACACTGTGCATTTCAGAAAACTGAACTTCTAGAAAAATTGTTTAAAGAGACTTCTTTTTTGCTACCTAATATCCTACAATTGCATAAAAGAATCACTTTTAAAACCAATACAACAGGGGCACCTGGGTGGCTCAGTGGGTTAAAGCCTCTGCCTTCGGCTCAGGTCATGATCCCAGGGTCCTGGGATCGAGCCCCATATCGGGCTCTCTGCTCAGAGGGGAACCTGCTTCTCCCTCTCTCTCTGCCTGCCTCTCTGCCTACTTGTGATCTCTGTCAAATAAATAAATAAAATCTTAAAAAAAAAAAATACAACACAAACATTTTTTTCTAAGAAATTCAGCTGTCAACTTAAGGGTCACATTTAAACCTGATGTGATTTGAAACAGCTAAGGTACTGAATCCTTAAATATAGGATGTGTAATGAAAGCACTGCCCACAGGTCCTCAATTGTGAGGCTTAGAAAGCTTTAATAAGATACAGCTATAGATAAAGCCAACCAAGGAGCATTACCCCTTTATGCACTCATACCACAGCCCAAGTCCCCTTACATTTTACATTTCCAGTGAAATGTTCCTCTAATGGTGAATGAAAGTCATATAAATTATATTTAGCCAATAAAAGGTTAAAATCAGAGCCAAACTATCTAAAAAACATTAAATTCATAATTGGTGAGCTTTTTTCTACCCTGTTTCTGTAACCTGACATCTAAAAATCAAAGAACTCCTCTATTAAGACTGAAATCCCCAGGAGGAAGAAGGCTCAGATCTAGACTGAGAGCACACAATGGAATCACAGCGACGATGCACATCTTTTTCTAGATGTCTCCATATGCTTGAGAGGGTTTTTGTTTTGTTTGTTTGTTTTTTTCCCTTTAACCAGGCTTTAGAGGACTTACTACTCTCTGCCACCAAGAATCTGAGAACATTTTCAAGGACTATTGTAGAAAATAAAGTAAAATAATGTGTTGCTCTTATACATACAAAAAAGAGAGAAGGGCACATGTCAGAGTGACCATCAGTAACTAACTAATGATGGGGGATTTTCAATGTTGTCAAATTTTGAATGTTGTTTATGATATTCCCCACTTCTGGCAGCTAAATGTTTTATCCCCACAGTTTTTGTTATTTTATCACTAAAATAACACCCAAAGGGCTACAGCAAAATGCAATTAATTCTTGTCTATGTAAACACTCAAAATTATACTGAATTAAGAATTCACATTATAAATTTGAGAATGGTGTATTGCAACAGAACACATAGAGTGTGGTAAATACTGTTTCCTAAAACTACAGTTCCTCAATTCCTTCTTATAGTAACCAAATATTAATAAAATCTTGAGAAAGCAGTAGATATGATAAATACCACACACGTAAGATTACCCCCACACACACCAAAAAAAAAAAAAAAAAAAGCCTCTCAAGATCAGTTCAATTCAAGGGATACTTAACACGAAATGAATGAATTCATTCTGTTTAACATGATTCATTCTTTGAACTCCCAAAGATTTTACAAATTCCAGTTGGGAAAAGGATCCTTGCTGCTGTCAGTGTGCACTAAACCTCACCAACAAAGAACAGGAGCACACATACACACACATAAAAAAGCACTGTAGCAGCTGGTGCCTTTTTTAAAGACAGCTTATTCCTAAAGAGCAACCTGTGCTCTTTATTGAGAACCAAAGACCTATTCTCCCTATTCTTAAAAGTCAGGAGTTAATAAAGTCACTGGACTGAACCCAACAACCAGCATAAAACAACCAAAAATGTCTCCTAACCCTGCAGAAACCAGAAAAGCACACACACACTGTACAATTCAGTAGTGTGTTTAAGAACAAAACTAATTTATTTTTTTAAGAATCTTTTGTGTGGGAGGAATCCAGCAAACTACACTTTAGACTTTTTTCTGTAGACAAATATACTTTGACTAGCTTTGCTTCTTAAATACCAACGCTTTATGTTTCAAACACTGATGCTTTGGTTCCTAACTTCACTTTGTTTACTCAGGAAAAAGAAAAAACAAAACAAACAAAACGCATACCATAAATGACAACTTTTTTTTTTTTAATGTCATCCCAAATGCCTAACTTCCAAGCGCACTTTGGGAGCTGGCGGTCTAACTAAACAAGGAACCAGTGAAGCCATGACAAACAATGATGCTTTACACTCCCAATAATCAATTGACGTAAGGCTATCCAGATGCCTTCATTTTCAGAGTACCCTTGCAAATTTCACTGTTCCCACCCTGGAGGAGCTAAGTGAAACTGAGGTAGGGGTAAACTGCTAACTCCGATGATCCTCTGCACGTAAACCCGCCGCTGAGGTCCAGAACACGATCACTACAATATATATGCCATTTTAGAAACGGGCCTCGGAGAGTTACTGCCACATACTAAGTGGCTTTAGACTTCGTCGTGTCTAAGACGACGTCTCTAGTGGTACCAAGAAAAATACAGTATCTCGCGTAAACTACGTGGCCCCCCGGGTCAGAGACCCTATAAGTGACACTACCGCACAAACCAAGGAACGGGTGACTAGGGATGGACAAGACTGGCTAGCTCAGCGTCTCCATGACTCCCCCGCCCCGCGTGCAACTCTTCTCTAACTGGTCGGGAAGCAACCCCGCCCCCTTCCTTCCTCCGGTCCCTACGATTGGCTTACCGACACCCGGCAGGTCAGCTCCCCGCCTTCGATTGGCTCATTGCCCCATCAGTTACACGCAGCGAGATTCGGGTCGGTGGGAGGGGAAGGCGTTGGAGGAGGTGGAGTGGGAGTGGGATTAGAGGACGAGGTGGCAGAGGAGGTGTTCAGGTTTGGTCCCCGGTTTGGGAAAGTTTCCCCTACCAGTGACAGATACAGAAGGCGTAAGGCCCGGTCCAGCTCTGGGCCAGTGCAAGGGGCTCGGGTCCCCGATTCCCGCCCCTCGGTCCCGCAGGCCCCGGAAACCACCAGAGGGAGGGGGAAAAGGGAGGAACCATCTAACCAGGGACCGACCCACCCCCGATCTCGGAAGAGGCGCCTCCGGGACTCCCCGGAGGGGCGAGGGGCGGGGGACGGGGAGGTCCAGCACGCCGCGACGACCCTGGCCCCCTCTCTCAGCAGCCCCCAGAGGCACGAGGGAGAAGTGTCCCCGGGCCCGGGGCGTGACCGTCGCGAGTCAGCCGGGAGGGCCCCTCCCGCTTCCCGCCTGGGGCCCTGAGGGCCTGTCCCTTCAGGGGCGGGGAAAAGGGGGAGAGAAAAGGGGGCGCTGGCGAGCCAACCCGGAACCTCCCGGACCGCCTCCCGCCCCCAGCCCCGGCCCCAGCGCGCCTCCTGCACACATGCCCGCACCCAGAAAGTTAAGTCAGGGGCGAGCCCAGCTCGGCGCCGCCGCGGTCCGGCCCCCCGGCTCCCCGCCCCCACCGCCGCCCGGCCTGCTCGGCCGGAGCGCGCCGCCCGCCCCGCCCGCCGCAGCTCTTTCCCGTCCGCCTGCGGCGCGCGGCGCCCCTCGCCCCCCGCCCCCGGAGCTGACACGGGCCCGGCCCGGCTGCCGGGCCGCCGATCCCCTCCTCCCGGCGTCTCAGCCCGCCCGCCGCCCCTGACATCGCGCTTCACCTTCACACACCCCCGAGCACTTCCCGAGTCCTGCCTCCCCTCGCCCGACTCCCACCCTCCGCTGCAGTCGCTCCGCGTTTCCATTAAAGAATGCACCTTCTTAGGATTCACCTTCCCGTCTCAGCCTCTCTGCCCCCGAGGGGACAGGAGCCTCGCTGCTCGCCGACCCCGCACCGGGCGGGCTGGCGGGCGCCTTGCTGCTCAGGCGGGGGCCGCGCCCGCGCCCCCGGCCTCCCCGCCGCGCCTCGGCTCTCACCTCTCGCCGGCGCCGCGGGCTGCAGCCTCCGCCCGCCTCGCGCTCCGGGACTCGTCTCCAGAGCTCTCGGAAAGCGCTGGAGCGCCTCCTTTCTCTCCCAGGGACTCCGCGTCTCCGCGCCGCTTCCCGCCCTCCCCACCCCCCAAGCCACAACTCCCCAGCTTCGCGGCGCCTCCGGGATGCAACTCCCGTTTTCCGCGCACTCCGGCAGCGCTCCCCGCACACAAAAACAGCCCTCTCCACGGCGCACGGCTCCGCCGGGCTCGGCGCAGGAAGGGCAGTCGCGGCCGGGGGTGGGGACGCGGCGCCCCCCGCCCGCCGCCAGCCTCCTGCCCGCCCTCGCGGCCCCCAGGGAAGGCGCGGTTACCGGCTCGGGTCGGTCACGCCGTCAGGTGCCGGCTGCCGTCGGCGCTGACCTTCGCCGCCGAAGCTGTGGCTGAGGCTGCGGCCGCCATGTTCCCGTGTTAATAACTGCTGCCTGGTTGTTTATTTCAATGGAGATCCTCCCCCAACTCCCTCCTCCTCCTCCTCCGCGTCTCCGCACTTGCGGAGAGAGACACAGACCGCGCGAGCTAGCGAGCAGGGGAGGGGGCTCGGGAGCCAGGCCGTCCCTCCCTCCGCCTCCCTGGCCGTGGCCGCCGCCAAGTCCTGTCACTGGGGAAAGGACGGGGCGGAAACTTGCCTCCCGCGCCCCCGGGGAGGGGGCAAAGGTGGACGGAGGGTTCTTCGGGGAGCAGACCCTGGCCGCGGGGTCCGCAGCATCTCCGTCGGCAGCGTCCTCTGAGAAGGCGACCCGGGGAGAGGTGAAGAGTGAGGGGGGAGACGGGAAAGGGGACAAAATGGGTGACTGTGGCAAAGGGAGGGTGACCTATGGGTGACTGCAAGTGAAGGGAGAGTAAACAGATGACTCCATGGGAGGGCAAAGGGCAGTGCCAAAAAAGAAAGCGAGAGGATGGGACTGGCCGGGGCTGCAGAGTGAAGGCAGTGGGTTCCTGGGGCTGCAGACGGCGGGGAAGATGCCCCGGACGAAGATCCGTGAAAGCCAAGTGCCAGGTTCGCCCGGGGAAGAGCCTCCCGCCGGCGCTCGGACCGGGCCCCTCCGCCAGCAGCCTGCATCCCTAGGGCGCACCTCACACACCCCGCGTCTCCTGCTGCGTTCTAGAGGTACCCCCTCGTCCATCAGGTCTCCTTCCGCTTGTACGAGGATAGGCTTCTCCTGTTGCAGCCCTAACTCCCGAAGGGATGGAGGGGGCGCGGCTGCGGGAGGCTAGGTGCAAGGGGTGCCACCCAGCAATCGCCTGATAAAGCAAAAGTGCCCACAGTGTGTAAAACCTAACGTGGCTGAGCATTCTCGTCCCGACATGAATCACAAAAGTTTTTTATTGGAAAGTCCACTTCCTAGACGTCAGAAAGTGATGTTGGGGTGGAGGATGTGCAGGAAAGTTGCACCAAAAATTCGAGGAGAATTCTCACTTGACTATTACTGAGATCAGTTTCATGCTTTGGGAAAGCAGGCTCTTCCCCACTTGAATATAGTTGGAAAAAATGAACAACATTTGCATAACAAATTTCCTTCTAGTCTTATGAGAAAGGTCACTTGCCATAGACATAATTATAGTATTTATTGAACACTTACTATGTGCCTGGCACTGTCCTGAGCAATTTGTATACGCTATTGATTTTGATCCTCAAGACTTATAAGGTAATTACCGTTTTTACCTTTCACTAAAAAATTTAAACTTAAAGAAATAACGTAATTTGCCTGTAGAAACAGCCAGGAAGCTGGAGAGGATTTGAGCCCAGTCCTGGCGGGCTCCAAAGCCCACACTTTTAATATCTTCAACCTCAAATTTGTGGGAATACCACCAATTTTATTTTGGGAAAGAAAATGTGTGGGGAGTGTGTGTGTGTGTGTGTGTGTGTGTGTGTGTGCGCGTGTGTAACTATGGATGGAAAATGGAAGGCTATTACAACAAATTGTTAGCACTGGGGAGTATAATAAGTGGGTGTGTAATGGGGTACTTCCACTTTTATTTTGTACATTTAACTTCAGTTTAAAATGTTTGCATTGACTGTGTATTAATTTAGTAAATTTTAAAAGATTATTTTAATTAGCTGGCATAACAATTATATTCTCTGAAAACCCACAGCTCTGCAAAAACCTGGGAGAAGAAACAGGAAATGGAGGGTTTTAAAGGACTGTCTTCGTTAACCAAATACTAGTCCGTAGTATTCCTACAATGAGGAAGTAGTCACCTGAGGTCTGTCACATTGCTGGACTCAGATTTTCTTTCCTGTCCTCACCCCTAACGCTGAGTTGTTAACAGATTCTCTTTCTTGCTTTCTTTTTGGCAGAAGTTCTGAGTCCATCAGTCCTCTGCAACAGTATATTTCACACTGTCAAAAACCACCCATGATATCTGTGCAAATAAATGACTCCCCATTGCATTTCCATATTTCTCAATAAAACTTACTACGTGCTCAAGATACACGACTGTTTCTACCAAAATAAAACAAACACATCTGACAGCATAGCATAGTAAGTTCCATGTTCAGCTGCTACTCAATTGCCTGGAACCTGGAGGAATCCTGTAACTTCTGCTCTCTGGTCTCGGGGCTCCTTTGGCACTTCATGCTGCTGTTCCAGTAACACTGTGTTGTACTGGAGCTGTGTATATATTAGCCTCTCTCTTTCACTAGATTGTAAGCTACTCAGGGCTCTCAACCATGTCTTGTTCTAATTTGTATTATACTCCTAACAAGGTCTCATATGCTTTTTTGTTTGTTTGTTTAACTGAATCTGTAAAACATAAACAGTAGTATAGTATCTCATTCAATCTCCATGTCCCCTTCCCCCATCTCGCCCTCCAGTGCTTTGTTCTTAATATCTGTTTATAAAAAATGTTCTCAGTATTTTGATAGAACTAGATTTCTGTGAGACCTCAGAATAATTGTTATAAAAATCAGCCTTTAGTGAATTATCACTGAATAGCCAGAATAATTGTTACAAAAACTAGCTATTAGTGAATTATCACTGTGATAATGTAACATGGAAAGGAAGAGAAGGCAGTAAATAAAGAAATTGACTTAGGGATGTAAAGGAAAAAAAAGATATAGGAACTAGGTATATTACCAACAGAGGACAACCCAATAAGGGAAAAAAAATGTGGGTAGAAATCATAAAGGGGAAGGAAATTATTGAAATTTAGTGGAAGCAGAAACTTGAGAGACCATGGATGGATGAGGCAAGCAGACAAACCAAAAAAAAAAAGCCAAATTATAAATGCAATATAAAATAGCAAAGAAAAATGATAATTTATATATTTAACAATATACCTAAGAAAAATTAGAACAATGTGAATGCAAATACTATAGGGCAAGAAAATTTATTTTTTTAAGATTTTATTAATTTATTTGAGAGAGAGAAAGAGCACAGAGGGAGAGTGAGAGGGAGAAGCAAGTTCCCTGGCAGAGCAGAGACCCCAAAATGGCGTTCAATACCAGGCCCCAGAGGTCATGACCTGAGTCGAAGGCAGACACTTAACTGACTGAACTGCTTAACTGACTGAACCACCCAGGGGCTCCAGGGCAAGAAATTTCTATTTTGACTGTCTTTCTTCCCCATTCAATTTCAAGCTACTCACTGTCTTCATAGTTAAACTACATAAAAATAGAAGGTTCAATACCATTTTTGTATTATTACTACTACAATCGTGCATCATGATATGAAAGGGAACACGGTATGGTAAATACATAGAAGATAGGCAAATAAACATATAAATTGCACTTTGCTACTTACTGTGTGACCTTAGACAAGTCACTAAATATCTGTTTCTTATCTGTACAATTGTTGCAAGACTCAAAATGATGTGAATTAATGTACTTTAACTATGGAGCTCTTTATAAAGACATAAAGGAATATTATTTTGTTGACTAAATCCATGCATCGCACACTTACCTCTGTTTTGGTGCACTCTCCTTTCAAATTGCAAAAGCAAAAATCTATAGTTCATTTTATTTAAAAAAGGGTTTTTTTAATTAAAAAAAATTATCACCTGGGGCTCCTGGGTGGCTCAGTGGATTAAGCCTCTGCCTTCGGCTCAGGTCACGATCTCAGGAATCAAGTCCCACATCAGGCTCTCTGCTCAGCAGGGAGCCTGCTTCCCCCTCTCTCTCTGCCTTCCTCTCTGCCTACTTGTGATCTCTCTCTCTGTCAAATAAATAAATAAAATCTTTAAAAAAAAAGTTATCAGAGGGCGAATCAGTTAAAACATTTAACAATATGATTATTGAATAAAACAACTATTTGCCCAACTATTTCATTCTTATTATTTGCTCTTTCCAAATCCTTTAAATATTATAGCTACTATAAATGTGTCTAATATAGATCAAGCATATTACATATATTTTTTCCTTTTTTCTAAAGATTTTATTTATTTGAGAGAGAAGAGCACGAGTAGGGGGAGGGGCAGAGGGAGGTACAGAGGGTGGGGCAGAGGGAGAAGTAGACTCCCTACTGAGCAGGGAGCCCAATGTGGGCTGGATCCCAGTACCCTTGGATCATGACCTGAGCCAAAGGCAGACGCTTTACCGATTGAGCCAACCAAGCACCCCTATTTCTAGTCAAAGTAGGCATTATATGTATTATTATTCCTGTTTTACATGTGAGAAAATTGAGATTCAGAGATATTAATTTATGCAAGATCATGGAGCTGATTTTGCAGCATGGCTAACAGGCTGTGCTAAGATTTTATTCTACTTAACTGCATATCTTTACTACCTTAGAACACACATCGTTTTCACCTTTATTTCCTCAGTACCTATAACAATTTCTAGAACATAATACAGGCTCATTAAAATTATAAACTTCTTATCAAAAATGCCACTAGGGGGGCGCCTGGGTGGCTCAGTGGGTTAAGCCCCTGCCTTCGGCTCAGGTCATGATCTCAGGATCCTGGGATCGAGCCCCGCATCAGGCTCTCTGCTCAGCAGGGAGCCTGCTTCCTCCTCTCTCTCTGTCTGCCTCTCTGCCTGCTTGTGATCTCTCTCTCTGTCAGATAAATAAATAAAATCTTAAAAAAAAAAAAAAATGCCACTAGGAAGAGAAAAAGCAGTCCACAGATTAGGAGGACATATTTGCAGCACACCTATCAGGCAAAATAACTGTATCCAAAATAAGTAAAGAACACCTCTGAATTAATAATAAACACTCCAGTAACAAATGGAGCAAAGCCTTGAAAGGGCACTTTACAAAAGCATGTGAATGGTCAATAAACATATGAAAAGATGCTCAAAGTCCTTAGTCATCAGGGAACTAAAGTTAAAACAAGAGATACCACTTACTCCCTAGAATGACTAAAATTATAAAGTACAACAATTTCTAATATTGGTAAGAATGTGGAACAATTGGAACTCTCTTTCAGACTTTCTGTACTTTGGCAGGACTATACAACCACTTTGGAAAACAGTGTGGCACGTCCTTTTAAAGTTAGCATACACTTAACCATATGACCCAACAGCTCTCTCTTAAGTATTTACCTAAGGGAATATTGATCTGGGTGATGGTTACATTTTAACAATGGTTGTCAGAACTATTGAGTTGTACGGTTACAATTTGTTCATTTAGCAGTCTGTAAATTATGCCTAAACAAAATACCACTGGCATCTAAAGAAATGGAGTAA